AAAATTTAACCAGTATTGGTTATGTTATTTATATACAGATAACAATAGTGCTTTGACATTTTATAATATATTAGTAACAGCACAGCACAATTAAAATATATTATGAACGAGGAGCCATGCGCATGACCTCAGGGTTGACATTGCACCTTTAACCACTAGGTGAAGACTCCTTACAGTAAATAAATAGTCAAACATACCATTAATCATACTAATTATAATTTAAAAAAAAGGTAACATATTACATATGATTATGTATATTCAAGGTAAAAAAAATCCATATACTTACATTTAACTAAAAATATACCTGCATGCAAAACAATTAAAGTAATATATTATTGAGAAGAAGTAATCATTTTAAGTGAGAATTGAAATTCATCTCTCAATATAATCGCAGACAACTTAGATAATATTCTTTCTACATACCCAAACGAATTGGCCGAATCAGCCCCACTTGGATCAGTCTCCATATAGTTTCCTCGAATAGAATATAACCTTAAGCTCTACAACGAACTCTTATGTTTTTAAAAGTCACGTAGCTTTGAGAATATTCTAGTTTCTACGGAAATTGTAGTATTATGTTGTATTTTTAAATTGAAGTGGAAATTTTTGTCCTTGAAAGACATCTTCGTCTTGTTTATTGTAAACTAGCGGCCTGTCCTGGCACGTGCAGGTCACTTATTTGTGTAAGAAATTTCAAAGGATATAGTAAATTAATTACAAACCTACAAATATATATGTAGGTTTTTAAATCTAATTGTCCCTCGGACAAGCAAAAAAGCTGGCGCGGCCGCAGAGCAGGCTGAAAATAATAAACAGCTCAAATGTAAGAGTCGTTTCTCCAACTTTGTTGTTCCCTTTGGAGTAGATACTCTTGGTACATGGGGTTCAAGTACACAGGCGCCAATTAAAGATTTAAGTTGGCAGCAGATGGTACCGGTGACCCCAGAGTTGGTACTTTACACACTCATCGAATAAGAATCGCAATACAAAAAGAAATGCTGCCAGCGTTAATATACACTGCCACAGGGATCAATCTTTTTAAGTTTCTATTTTTTTATTATTATTATTACTATGTTCATTAGTATACACTATACTGGAATTACAATAGCGAAATTGAGATTTATTTAAATATTTAGTTAAAGCGCTAATCTCAGGAAATAACATATTCCATTTATTTAGGAAGGCTATATGCCATATATACCATTATTATATTATATTACCACGGAAGAATCGTGGATTCAATTATAACTACATCGGTTTCGTAACGCTGATAAAGAAAAGAAAAATTCATCTCATAGTTGCGATTACATGTAAGAGCACACATCATCTTTCCAATCACGTAGCAGTGCTCCTACTCCCCTTAATTTATTTACAACAATTTAAACTGTCGTGGTTTTAAATGGCTGCTTGTACGTCGACGAAAGTGACAAATGTACTCAATTAATTTCCACTAAGGAACTACGTTTGTTATTTTAAAAGGATTTTTGTTCTAAGACTGCATCTAAATTTTCTATACGGTTTAAGTTGGGATTGGATTTGTTCCTTACTGAAGAAAGCATTATTAAATTATTGTAACGAATCTGTGCAAGTAATTTCTTAAGTAATCTTTTCTTAAGTATAAAAATTGGGGAAGAAGGTTGTTGCTGTTCCTACAACCTAAAGCCTAAAGGAATTATTCTCGAACAGTGGAACTTCTGACTAGCCCGAAGCCTAGCTTAGGTCGAAAAGCTGTATAATATATCCATAGTCGAGAACACTTTCTTAGTAGCGATTCATGGTATCAGGTTATCACCCTGATTATTGCCGGATCTTGCATGTTGATTACAAAATCATATTACTTGTAAAATAAATGACTAAATGACAATCGTATTTTGTACACACAGCACTAAAACAAAGAGCATACATTTATAAAAAAACATTCCAGGCGCTTTAAGTCAACTGTCAAAGATGTCAGTATTGCTTTAATTTTTTGACAGGATATCAATGTCAATTATACATATTTTATTTGCTTTTGATTTTACTAGAACTTGTGTATCATCATTTTAATTGTGGCAAAAATATATTCGCTATTGCAAAACTAGCTGTTGCGAGTCATGATCTTATTAATTACATTTAATTTAGTCATAGACACTCCACAATAATGTTGCTATTTAACTAGTAGGTACAAGAATTCGAATATTTCAGTTCAGTAGTTGCAGAGTACATTACTAGCTAAACCACAAGAACTTCGTATTATTTAAACCGATTTAAAGTATCAATGAGAAATAGTATATATATTTTTTCAATGGGAAATCGGGCAGGAGGCTCACTTGTGTCCAAATAATCATAATTTAGATATTAATAATTATAATTATAATTTAGATTTTGACTTTTATTCAAGATTAATCTATGTAACTAATTTATTAATTTAGGTGATCCCTTTATGTAAGGTATCAATAAAAAATACATTTTTTTTAATGATACCTGAATATACCATGTGTAATGTGTGTATTCACATTTCACACATATTGTGGTGCGAAAAAGTGTTTTTTTTATATAGCAGGAGGCAAACGGGCAGGAGGCTCACCTGATGTTAGGATCGCCGCCTATAGACACTCTCAATGCCAGAGGGATCGCGAGTGCGTTACCGGCCTTTTTAGAATTGATACGCTCTTTTCTTGAAGGACCCTATATCGAATTGGTTCGGAAATACTTCAGTGGGCAGCTGGTTTCAGAAATCGCTCAGTTGTGGAACGACGGATGTTGAGGTGATACGGGTTAAATTTCCTATTCTGCTTTGACGTCTGACTCTGCATAATATTCAACAATATTTTTCCTTAAAGAAACCGGTTTATTGTTAGCATCGACTGGTAATAAGTACAGCGGTGCGTCAAATATATGTTAGTCCAATATTTAAATTGTAAGCTCATCGTTCGTTCTATTATTAGTCAATCCACATGATAAATAATGAAACTTAGACTATCGTGGATTTTACTTCTAGGTGACATAACTTTGTTTATTATTAAATTAATGTTTCGAGCTGTGTTAAACTTTTACATTATTTATATTGACAGTGGCGGGCTTGACGGATGGTTCAGAGGAAATATCAAAGTAAGTTTAAAATAAATATATACTTTATGATTGTTTGGTAAAATATACTTATCTTAAAGAAAATTATGAATTACAGTTGTAACGGAACGCTTTTATAATTTTAGATTGTAATAAATATAGTGTTGTAGCTGTCTTTATATTTTAATCTGTGGCCCCCGACTCTTCGTAAAACAAGTTCATTAAGGCCGAACCAAACTGCAAGCGATATTGTACAGTCCATATTAATCGTATCTTAAGTCTCAATCTCTCCTTAAGTGCTATCAAATATGTCTAATTTCATAGAGAAGAAAATGCTTTGACTGCTCTAGATAAAACTAGAAACTAGATTTATTTTTTATTTGTCCATTGACATTATGATCCCGAGGCAGTAGCAGTAGTAAAAAAAAAAATGGCGATTAAAAAGAGTGGCGGAGAGTTTATTGCCAGTTCTTCTCTTCCGTTCTACGCCCTTGATTTGAGAACTGGCACTAAATGTAAAATTAGAAGCATTTATATGTATTTCTTTACTGACAAGTCATAAGTGTACAATGTGTTACCCATATGATTAAATGATTTTTGAATTTGAATTTAGCGTGACAACATTTTAGATCTATGTATATATAACCTCTTTTGTCTAAATGTGATTAATTATTATTGCCAAATTTAAAATTATATTAATTCTACCAATATACAATGCAAATACCTCACAATAGATGGTGAGCCCAAGATGGGATTTCGGGATTTACTACAGCGTGGCAGATTTATATACAGGGAAATACCTTGTATCCGGTTAAGTATCTTTACCAAATATGAGCCGGTTAAGTACCTTTACCATAATATATATGGCCGTCCGAGAAGGATAAAGGATCAATCAATTAAGTACAAAGATTAAAAAAAAATATATTGTCAGATTAGGCGAATCCCTCCGGATGATCGTCAGATTATGAGACAGCTCATCTAGGAGATAAAGATGAACCATATATATCTTAATCTGACGCGCTTGAGTATGTCAAAATTGCTATTTTGACATACTCAAGCGACAAGGGACCGCGAATTTGCGTCACATCCAAATCGTCAGATAATTAGATGAGAGCTTTTTTTTAGGTTCACTTAACATCCCCTTAGAAAATCTGACGCACTCGATAATTTTTTTTTTTCATTTTCAACCCTTGCGTACGACCACGCAAACAATCAGATTAACATACGTACATTATTGAAGTTATACTTCTTTAGGCGCGTTATGAAAAATTAATGAGAGTGAAATTTTACGACGCGCGCGCACCGTGACCTAAAATTAACAGAACGAAGTTGCCCACGGAAGATGCTACGGCATTGGACATAATTTAAAAACAACAATCGAATAATAATAGAATTTATGTTACACTTAATGTAAGAGAATAATACTAAATATTTATTTATTTAATTTTTCAAATCTAAACTGAACTTTATTGACTATAGTGACTCCTTTTCCAGTCTTTAATTATTTAATTGTAATTAATTATTTGCATGCAATCAAAAACTATTTATAATAATGCCAAATAAGTATAACTTCTTACGCGCGTACATAAGTACACGCACCCTTTTTTTATAAATACGTAGGACATGGATGCTAACAATATCTGACGCGCTCGACTATGTCCATGGCACAGTTTTTTTTCATTTTTGAAAGTCTATAGCCGCCACCGATGAAAAGGTATACATTATATTAAAAAAAATCTTATAATTATCTAAGCTTCGCAACCCAAGAGGTCTCTATGACGTTCGAGTAAATCCCCATTTAGCATCGTGGGCTCCCCTACTACAAACACAGTGATCCAAAATGTAACTTCGCAAACAGGATACATCACTTGTCACGTAAAAGAAACACTGGTGGTCTTGATTTGTCGTTTCTAAGTAAGTGATTGTTCTTCTGAACTTTTTGGATCTATGCCATGCCGGTTTCCTCACGATGTTTTCAATCACCGTGTTGGCTTAGGCCACTATTCACACTAACTTTAATTGTATATAGCGGAAGAGTGAAACGACAAATAGTATTTGGATCTCCAGAGTACTTTGCAAATCCTTGTAACTACACCGCATCGCCAAAACCCGACTTCTCCAAACCTGGTGTAAGACTCAGCGCAGCTAGTGAGTATTAAAATCATTTTAAATTATGTATTTGTTAAAAATATTTAATATTTCTGGGCCTCTAAGGACATAAAATCGTCAAATCCTCTAGTTTTATATACTATATATTTTATGCTGAAAATAAGACGACACATGATAATTGAAATAAAATGTGTGCATTTATGTGATCAGCGTATTTAATAAGGTTTATTTACCTTATTATTTATAAAGGAATTTTACACAAATACAGAATAAAGAAACATACTTTGTAATTAAAGAAGTATCCTATAGAGATGAAGTATCCTATATTGAAAATGCTTTAACTCATTTTCTTTTAAGTATAATATTTTATTTCAGAATGTATAGAACATTTCTGGGATATGAAGCGCCAAGAGCAGAACCAATTACAACACCTTCACTGTAAGTATCTCACATGTCTCGGGGTGACCATCAAATTCGAGACAGTGCTAACAGACACTTCTGTACGTCAAAATGTGTAGGATTGTCAAATCCGATACGTAAGTCATACTTAGGTAAAAGCCTAAGGTTTTCTGTTATGTGGTGGAAGAACAACGTGAGTTGGTGTTTGGTGCCAAAATACATGAATAAAAAAGTAGTTATGATCTAGGAACGTATTTCGGAAACCGGTGTCAAATTAAAGAAAATATGTATTATTTTCAGTGGTACTTATTCGAGCAGTGTTGGCCTAGTGGCTTCAGCGTGCGACTCTCATCCCTGAGGGCGTAGGTCGGATCCCCGGCTGTGCACCAATGGACCTTTCTATGTGCGCATTTAACGTTCGCTAGAAACGGTGAAGGAAAACATCGTGAGGAAACCGATATGTCTTAGACCCAAAAAGTCGACGGCGTGTGTCAGGCACTGGAGGCTGATCACCTACTTGCCTATTACATTTAAAAATGGTCATAAAACAGATTCAGAAATCTGAGGCCCAGACCTAAAGTTTGATTGATTTATTTTATTTTTGTACTTATTCGTTGAGCGAGGAAAGTAAATAAGTATCGCAATACAGCGAGGAAATGTTGCCAGCGATAAAGGTACGCTGCCACAGTGACCAAACTTTTTAATTTTTTTATAATTTTCTTTTTTTTTCAGTGATTAGTTTAGATAATTTGTCAGACACGTTAAATGGTTTTCAAAGCTGCGTACTCGCTTAATAAGTCCTATATGTTTAAATCGTTCAGACAAAGACAATGTTTTTTTTATCGTAGGAAATGTTACATACCTACAGTCTGTCGGATTTGAAGGCACTCAAAGTAGAGAATAACATTAGTCTAACACTTCACTACAAACTTCTTAACTTTTTTATTGACGTTAATTACTGTTTACTATGTTACTATATTTATGGATAAATTATATTTTTAACAATCGAGGTACTTATAAAGACGGATGGACGGAGTTAATTGCCTTTGGCTAATTAAATCAATAATAATATAATAAAGCATTTTTCATTTATTTTGATATTTAAATTATCATGTGTACGAGTATTTTATAGGCAATTTATTGATTCAGTACTTTGGATAAGACTAAGTAGGCGAAGATGCTGTTATAATTGGAATAACGATTATTAAGTTTAAAGAATTAAATATTATGACACTATCTGGTCAATATATTCTTGAAGCCTTGTTGTAGGTACAAAAAAATATAAACGATTTTAAAACTAATGGTGACTTTTACCAGTATAATACGCGAAATAGAACTACTACTTGAGTGTACGACCAACCAGGCTCCAGAAGATAAACCACTCCTTATATGGAATTTTTTTCTTTTTTACAACAAATTCCCAAGCGAAATTAGAGAGTTATCACTAAATAAATTCAAAGCCCTCGTTAAACGTAAATTAATCAATAAAGCTTTTTGTAAATTTGACAAATACTTAAATGATCCTAATCCTTGGGATTGTTTTGCTTCAGTTCAAACAATTTGTATGACTCAAAACTTAGCGATTAAAAAGAGTGGGGGAAAGTTTCTTGCCAGTTCTTCTTGCTCTACGCCCTTGACTTGCGAACTGGTAGTAAATGTAAATTTACAATTAATTTAACTTTTTTAATAATGATATTTTGAGTTTGAGTTTTTTTATGTTTAAGGCTACACATGGGAACACAGGAACGACGACGTTGTTTATGGAGGTGGTATCGGAGGACGTAACACTAAGCCTGGAGAGTTTCCACATATGGTATGCTTTAAAACCTAAATTAATTATGTATCAACACGAACACATCTGTTTTCTGTTTAAAATTTAGGGGTGACAACGCACTTGCAAGCTGGCAGTGAGAGTGTCTATGGGCTGCTGTATCACTAACATCAGGTGAGCCTCCTGCCCGTTTGCCAAAAAAATCTGTCCTATAAGGAATACTGGTTCTCTAAACTTCTGCAAATTACGATACAATTTCTCCAAGTAATGATCCAGAATCTTTATAATGATATTGTCGCGTTTGTTAACAATTAATTAAAGTAAAGATGTTATGTAGTGATGTATGTTATGGGAGATGGAAAGGATCGCTTTCAGACAAAAAATATTTATTTAACACACTTACTAAGAATTTTTAAGTTTGAGCTAAATGGTTTTTGCGATTCCGATTACTATAGTCACTTTTCACCATGGAATTTTTCTATCTTACGATATTAGGACTACAAATCGTAACAGAGCTCCTTTTCTGCTTTGTTATAACGAAACGTTACAACTAACGTTTCGTTTCCGATCAAAGCTATCGATGTGTGTTGATCGTTTCCTTTTATAATGCTGTTGCGTCAGAGGGGTGCAGGTATTGCTTATTCGGGGTAAAGGGGGTGCAATGGATAATACTCGTATGTAACATGTTTGTACACAGGGCGCTATAGGATGGAGAGCCACTGTCGGAACGTGGATATTCAAGTGCGCAAGTTCCTTGATTAGCTATAAATTCCTGCTGACCGCTGCTCACTGCTCTAGAGTACCTGCTCGAGACACCAGTGTGGCCAATCCTGTCCCAGAAATCGTAAGACTTGGGGATAAAAATATAGCGGATGTGGTAAGTTACTTATTAAAAATATGATCAAGAATCTATAACCAGTGTTTGATGCTATCCCACATGATTTCTATCCATGTACTTCTTTCCAGCTTTATATTAGTTTATCCAATCACAATAACTGAGAGCAGTGTTGGCCTAGTGGCTTCAGCGTGCGACTCTCATACCTGAGGTCGTAGGTTCGATCCCCGGCTGTGCACCAATTGACTTTCTTTAGCGTTTCTATTTGCTCGAACGGTGAAGGAAAACATCGTGAGGAACATGTCTTAGACCCAAAACGTCGACGGCGTGTGTCAGGCACTGGAGGCTGATCACCTACTTGCCTATTAGATTTAAAAATGATCATGACACAGATTCAGAAATCTGAGGCCAAGACCTAAAGAGGTTGTAGCGCCACTGATTTATTAATCACAATAACTGTGCTTGTTTTTGTAAGGTAAACAAGGGCTTTACCTTCAGCGACTACTATGAGACTTCTTAAACGAATATAAACAATAGATAATCAACTATTCAAAACAAACGCCATACCTGCGACAAAAAAACAATTTTAGCATTTGTTTGTTTACAGTATACTAACGGCCTTGATCCATATGACGTAAAAATCAAAAGAATTGTTAATCACCCCAACTTTAATCCGCCGCGGAAATATTTTGATATTGCCATTATAGAGTTAATGGACGAAGTAAAGTTTTCGAAACTCATACAACCTGCGTGTCTTTGGACAGCTTTTAATATTCAAAAGCTTGGTAAAGAAGCCACTATCACTGGGTGGGGTGTTACTGAAACAGGTTAGTTTGTTTGTTTAAATCTTATATATAGTAATCATTGATACACAGTCTGTCATAAACGCGATACAAAACTTCCAAAATCAGTCTAGGACAAAAATCATTGAATGAGTATTATTTCAGATACTTACATTAAAATACAGTTATTATTATGTAACTGTATTTTAATGTAATAAAATACAGGTACAATACTGTGGTAGACACACAGATACCACACAGACACTTGGTATCTGTGTGTCTTTACCACACAGATACCAAGAAATGTGTAAATTTCACATTTCTTTTTAAGTGAAGGTTTCCAATTAATCTCCCCATTTCTGTCTTCATTATGCCACTCTAGGCCTACGAAAAAAAAATCCAAAAATTGCATTATATAAACAAATAGATATTGTTAATCGGAATATATACAGCCTGATTTATATACGCTTATTTTATTTCATGTATACAATTTTAAGAGAAATGATGTTAGTAGTATATAAGAATCAGTGTAATATAATAATTTTATCAATATACTCGAGAATAAGGATTCCTATTCTGTACTGGAGCAGTGTTGGCCTAGTGGCTTCAGCGTGGACTCTCATCCCTGAGGTCGTAGGTTCGATCCCCGGCTGTGCACCAAGAAACTTTCTTCTATGTGCGCATTTAACATTCGCTCGAACGGTAAAGGAAAACATCGTGAGGAAACCGACGTGTCTTAGGCCCAAAAAGTCGACGGCGTGTGTCAGGCACAGGAGGCTGATCATCTACTTGCCTATTAGATTTAAAAATGATCATGAAACAGATTCAGAAATCTGAGGCCCAGACCTAAAGAGGTTGTAGCGCCATTGATTTAATTTTTACCGGAATAAGTACTAGCAAGGATTCAGGCTGTGTATAGCTCTGTCGTAATTTCTCTTAGATTTTACATATTATAATTTTATAGCTGGTAAAAAAACGTCACCGGAGTTGCAAGCTGTGTTGCTCGACTTCATAGATTCAAAACATTGTGACCAACTCTTAGCTAAATACAGAAATAGACAGTGGCGAGGACTAGATGCGCATCAGCTGTGTGCTGGGAAACTTGCTGGTGGTGCAGATGCTTGCAAGGTTCGCTATATTTGGTTATGCATGGTGGCGAGTTTTACTTTACTAGTAAATTACCTGAAATCACTTTCTATATTTGTATATATAAATAAATATAGACTGTATTCGAGTACTACATAAACAGGATTACATAAGCTTCATATCATTATGTTTAACATTAGTACAAGACCTCCGGCAGAGTGGAGGCTACTTGTCTCTGATCCTCGCCATATGTATAAATTACTAGATGAACTAATGAACATCGTATCACCTACATATTTGTGTCAAAACGTAATTCAACATTTTTAAAACAGACCAAAGACAACCTCAAACTACAGTTATGAAACACACCACAAATTACATCCAAGTGACACTTCTTTATTTCTAAAAAGACATAATAAATAAATAAAAAATAAAAATAGTCTTTATTCGAGTACACTATAACTACAGTAAGCCCATGTCTTTTAAGTTTTACACTAGTACTCGACCTCCGATGGAGTGAAGGCCTCCTTCAGATTCTTATCTTATTTGTTGCGACAATTTTCCCGTTTTTTCCCGCTACCCCTTTTATTTCATCTTCCCAAGTTTTCGGTGGGCATCCTCTCTTTCTTCTTCCCACTGGGCCCTTCCGAGTAAGGGTCTTTTTGACCCATCTGCCATCACAAATGCGGCCAATGTGACCGGCCATAAAAGTACATAGGAACAGATTTTATTGGAAAATTTAATCGTCGTTTTTAGTATTTTTCTTTACTTATTTTTTATGTTTTCTACTGCTTAAACCTTCCTGAACTATCCCTTCTTTAGGAGTAAAAGTTGATGCTAATCCAGGACGTTTAAATCAAACTAATTTTTTTATTAACCGACCAGGAATTTTTTTTGGTCAATGTTCAGAAATTTGTGGAGCTAATCATAGATTTATACCTATTGTTATTGAAAGAATTTCCATAAATAACTTTATTAACTGAATTAATAATTATTCATCATTAGATGACTGAAAGCAAGTATTGGTCTCTTAAACCACTTTATAGTAAATTAGCAATTACTTCTAATGAAAGAATTCTAGCCAAATCGGTCAAGCCGTTTTCGAGTTTTAGCGAGACTAATAAATTCATTTTTATATATATAGATTTATTTTAAGAAGCAATAGCTCCTACACAGCTGCTATACAATATTTGTGATTGCTTTTACTTGATCCCAGAGATCTTTATTGACTTTGTTTAGAGTTAGAAAGATTACCATTTGAGCTAAATACAAATTTTGTTTATGTACGTACATATTAATGTGTTTGATGTTAAATTCTAAATTTACAGGGTGATTCCGGTGGACCACTCCAAGTAAAATATAAATTAGCGAAGGCCAATCCGTTGATACCTAACGGTATTCATTATCTAGTAGGAGTAACATCTTTTGGAATAGGCTGCGCTACAGCTAACCACCCCGGAGTGTATACAAGAATAGCCAGTTTTGTTGACTGGATAGAAGACGTAGTGTGGCGAGGACTTTAATAAAGCAATAAAAACTACGTTTTGATTTGACTTGATATTTTTTTTAAATCACCTAAAATAAATATTATCGTTAAGCTACTTTTTCTTGGCGTCATAAATAAACTGGTCTGGTAACTTAGTTGTAACATGTGTTATATTTTTATGTATGTTATTTTTCGTAATAATTATTAATCTTTGGCAGTCTTGAAGTATTTCTATATCCGGGAAGATTTAGCTATAGTTAAGAAGCAGCAAGTTCCTCACGATGTTTTCCTTTACCGTTCAAGCGAATGTTAAACGCGCACATAGACAGGAAGTGTATTAGTGCACAGCCGGGGAGCGAACCTACGACCTCAGGGTTGAAGGTCGCACGCTGAAGCCACTAAGCCAACACTGCTCATAAGATATTAAAGCAAGTTTAAAATATGATTTTATTTTCTATATAGTTGATCATAATTATCAAATTACATATATTACGTAAGTTTTGAATAGTAGAGTTACAATAGACGTCGAGTTAATAACCACCTCTATTGGCGTTTTTAAATCGGTAAAAAGTAGTTTATATTATTATTACATCGATTTTATAAAGTCGGAATGTTTAAAGGGATGCCCCTAGAACGTTTTATTCATAGTTTAAATGATGAATACGAAAGACTCACTAATTTTGTGGGTCTCTCGTATCTAAATATATTCTGGCCCCAAGGGCCAGTCATATAATTCCACTCACTAAAGAACATAAAAAGAGGAAATTTCTGAAAATGGTAATTATAAACTTAAATTTTAAAAGCGCCTGCGATGATAATAATAGCAACATCGGGATTCAAAATGAAGTCGAGTAGTACAGTAGTAGTTACCATATAATATTTTATATACGAAAAACAACTTATAAGCATAAATAACATGCAAAAATCTCAGCTTTGACCCGAGCTGCCCGGACATACCAATATTCAAGCCTTGAGTTGTTTATGCTATCTAGGAATAAGCTTTTAGGTAGTAATAGGAATTGCTTCATCCATAGCGCTACATCACCTGCATCATAATTATTACTTTCACACCATCAAACAGCCCTGCCCAATTAGATATTACGTATTTAATACATTTTATTGACTTTTTCCCTTCGTCAATATTTGAAACTTTTATACATTATGTATTCCGTCTTTGGTTAGTATAATTTTTATTTGATAATATTTTTATTAAACATATTTCATATTTACAATCAAGTATACAGTATTTAAAATTTTCTTAACCTACAAAGTAATAATAAAAATAATTAAAAAGAAAATTAAAACAAATTTAAAAAGTTTGGTCCAAAGTACACTTACTTTTATCGCTGGCAGCCTTTCCTCGTATTGCGATACTTATTCGTTGAGCCAGGAAAGTACCAGCTGTGGGGTCACCGGTACTATTTTGGGGGGGCTCCGGCAGAAGATCATATGTCAGTCAACATAGGACGAAGTCTGTTGGGTCCGCTTTTCTGTAACTGTTTTAGTTAAAGGCATTGATATTCTTTAGTAATATATTTTATATCGTTTACATAGCGAAGACATGATTACGCAAAATGGCCGACATCATTTCTTGTCTGTCATAGTAATCTAGTGGCGGTTGTATATTTGTATTTTGCCGCCACACCATCTACTAGGCGCCAACAAAAATCTTTAAAAAGCGCCTGTGCACTTGAACCCCACGGCCCAAGAGTCTCTACTCCAAGGGGAACAACATCGAAGTTGGAGGTAAACTATATTTGTGCCGTTTATTATTTTCTGGCAGTTATTTTTTTATGTAATTGTTTTTGTTTTTATAATTTAGGATAGCGTAGGAATACGAAATTAAAAAAAATCTCTAAGGTCAACACGTTATTTATTATCAATAATACAGGTTTTGGTAAGATAATTGTCATGCTTCCATCATTCGGGGCACAACCGCTGTAAACGTATAGTTAAGACAATGCTAAATTGTTCTCAGTTGACTCCAGTGTACGGTGACAAATTCAACGCGAAATCTAAGCAAATAAATATCTGAGTTTGATTAAAATTGTGACAATGAAAGTAATAATAGCATTAACGTTTTTTGAAGGTCTGTTTATTTAATAAGAAGTGTAATAATGTGAGATCAGTGTTATGATATATGATTTCTTTGCAGTAATATATGTTGTGACCGGCTCCGTCAAATTAAATACAAGTTTGGAAGAAGTATGTATTTTATTATTACTCTTAAATATCTACTATACTATATCATGCAATGCACTACGTAGAGAAAACGTAAAAAAAATACCTGTAGCGGTCATTCACATTTAAAAAAAAAAAATTTAATGAACTTGTTAAAAAAAAATAACATATCTAAATTATTACTAAGTACGTACAAGAAACTACAGATTGATGCCCACAAGGAGGAACAGTCGTATATAAGACAAGAAAAAATGACGCCCAGGGTAACTTTAAAAAAAAAAATCTGGGGTGGTACATTTTTCCCCCCCTTTTCCCCCCCCCAACCTTGGGTCCATAAACCCAAGGTGGGGGGGGCCCAAAAATTTTTTTTTTTTTTTTTTTTTTTTTTTTTTTTTTTTTAAAAAAATTTTTTTTTTTTAAAAAATTTTTTTTTGGGTTGGTTTTTTTTTTTTTCCCCTTTTTTGGTCCCCCTTTTTTTTTTTTGGGTTTTTTTTTTTGGGGGGAAAAAAATTTTTTTTTTTTGGGGGGGGGTTTTGGGGGGGGGGGGGGGGGGGGGGGGGGGGGGGGGGCGAAAACTACAAAACCTGATTTTATTTAACCATAGACTTTTCCTTAAGTTTGAATATAACTAAATTTTACAAAGGTTCCTTGACTCTTAGTTTCCTGGAAATCTATGACCATGCAAACACTTACGAAATTTAGCACACTTGTGAAAACCTAAGGATGGGAATTTTGATCTCTTTCTAACAATATAAAATTTTAAGTCTGGGCCTCAAAAATCTGTATCTGCTCCATTATCATCTAATAAGCAAGTAGGTGATCAACCTTCTATACCTGAAACACACCGTCGACTTCTTGGGTCTAAGGTATGCCGGTTTCTTCACGATGTTTTCCTTAACCGTACGAACGAGTGTTAAATGTTCAATAATATCTTATACTTACATAAATATCAAACAAAAACCTCAATTTTAAGGAAGATGATTTATACGTTTCATAAACATAAATATACATTCAGATTACAAGAAAAGCACGTGCTGTTAAATCCGCAAATCCGTGTACCTATACCGCACCACCTAAGCCTGACTTCTCAGCGCCTGGTCGAAGAATTAGTGAAGCAAGTAAGTTTCTATGGCATATCACTTCTATTTGATTAATTATATCTGCACATTCATTTTATTATTTATGTTATCATGCCTCTTTTAATAGAACTAGAAGACTGGATACATCTCGAATATATTTTCCATTACTTCTTATAATTCTGTTACACTTATCGGCCTAATGGCTTATTTGTTAACGTACAAAAAGTGTAACTTTGAGATCCAGAATATATAATTATTTCGGGTTGAGGCTTTTTGTTATAAACGGGAACGGGGGGGCAAACCTGATGTTAAGTGATACCGCCCATGGACACTCTCAATGCCAGAGGGCTAGCGAGTGCGTTGCCGGCCTTTTAAGAATTGGTACGCTCTTTTCTTGAAGGACCCTAAGTCGAATTGGTTCGGAAATACTTCAGTGGGCAGCTGGTTCCTCATAGTGGTGGTGCGCGGCCAAAACTGCCTTGAAAAACGCTCAGTTGTGGAACGGCGGACGTCGAGGTGATACGGGTGGAATTTCGTATTCTGCCTCGACGTCCGATAGTAGATTTAGTAGTAGATTTATTTATTTTGTAGTTTTGTAGCATTTAAAGAAGAAAACTATCTTACGTTATCCTCATGATATAACATCACTTCGATGTCTATAACATTTACAAGGGACTTTCCATGTTCATTTTATGAATCAGGTGTCGCGTGCGTCGATAAAGGAAAACAATCACTCCACAGAGGATTTTACTTTATCTATAGAATTAATATTTAATTTATGGAGATTTTAATTAAGTTCAAATTTTAGAGTGTTATGAATACATGTGGGAGATGAAGAATCGAGAGGACAACTCAACCAGAATTACTAATTGTAAGTCAACCTCTTTCTAAAACTACGAATTTACCATTTTAACTCAAGAGAAAGAGAGATAGAGATAAAAAAGCAGTTAGACTGACTTAGATTGAATGATGTTTTAAATAAGTAATATGTTATCTGAATAACTTTAACGACTTAACAATCTATTTTATTAATAACAGTCAATATTACTAGTTGAAAGAATGAAGATTTTTTTACATTAAATATGATCATAAGAAAGAAACAATTTTTGCTCGTTGCTTGTATTTTTCTAGTGAACCAGAAGATATGAAAATAGTTTAAGGAATAACATTTCCTTGCATCTTTTTGGTATAATTATAGCATATAATTAATAATTTAAAGGTTGGAAAAAGAGACACCCAGGCAGACATGCAATTGGTGGTCGCCGCACATCACCAGGTGAATTTCCCCACATGGTATGACATTTTTACTTGCGTTTATTATTTTTTAATTGTGTACATATATAATAATTTGATAACTTTTTGACATTTTGATGATATGATATGATTTGGTGGTCATGAATATCTGCTAGCCTAGACCGATTGAAAACGTAGACTGTGTAACGTAACTTTAAGGCCCTATCCCAGCACGAATTACTGTGTCAGTGTCTCGGGGTGGACTGCGGAGCGAAGCGGAGAGCTGGAGCACTGAGGCGCGCCAGCCCGTAATAACAATTAGTTATGTAAAACATTAAATTAATGTAATTTTATCAATTTTTTTTCTGAAATGGATTGTGCAAGCTTAGTGCTTGCGATAAAATATGTCGTATAAATTTCAAAATCATGTTCTATATACATTTTGGTCATGAAATGAATTCAAAGTGTCAAAAATTAGCTACGTTTGGATTTTTTTCTATCAAGCGAAGTTATTTAAATCGTGTATCACTCTTTCAAAATGAATACATAAACTACTCAACTCCACCATACATTTTTTCCATTCAAGAAGTGATGACGAGAAATGGAAAAAAACAATGTACTGTTTTTGGAGTTTGGCGACCAGATAGGTCCTTAATACTAGTAAGTAGATAGCAACTTTATCCAGATAACAGAATATAAGAATGAAGTGAATTGTGACAAAACGGCGAACACGGCCAAACACTAAGGCTATGTTCAGATGGCAAAAACTTGACGCGCGTTTTCAAATCGCGCGACTAGAGATTATGGTATTTTTCATACAAGTTCACATGTACGCGCGTTAACCGCGTTAACCCGTCAACCGGCGCTCAAGAAAAAGTCTCTAGAGCAGTGATCGCGCGTTGACGCGCGCTGATTTAATTAATGTCCGTTTGCTTCAGATGACGGGCTTATCGCGATCATGTAATTTTTTAATTTTCTAATTATATTTTGTTCTCGCTTAAAATGAGTGAAATTGAAGATTTGAATCGACTACTAATCATGAAGTAGAAAAAAGGTCAGCAAGTTGGAATATAGCAAATTTGTATAAAAATATAAAAAATTGTATTTTTTCAAAATTGGATAAACCAATTGTACGTTTTCTTTTTCTATATTTTTCTTTAATATAACCACAAAAATAGCTCATCACGTCCATTTTCTACGTTCTACCGAACTAGACACAGTACTCTCCAACCGGTTAGTCATCATCTGAACGCTCTTCAATTGATCCGCTTGACGCGCGTAACCGTTACATTGAACATAGCCTAATAGAAGTGCTCGGCAATAAGACAAGATGAAAAACTTCAATTACATCAATGAAATACTGATTTTTTAGGGTGCTGTAGGATGGAAAGCTGCTGTTGGGACTTGGATATTTAAGTGCGGCAGTTCCTTAATCAGTTCGAAATTCCTGCTTACTGCTGCTCACTGCTCTAAAGTATCTCCACGTGACACCAGTGTGGCACACTTTGAACCGGAGATCGTAAGACTAGGTGATAAGAATATTGCTGATGTTGTAAGTGAGACGATATAACTATTTTAATTTTAAGTTAAACTATCAACACGAAATTTGATCCAACAGAATTAAAAATCTATTCATTATATTTTTTTTACTGACAACTTTCTCGCTAACCAAGATTGCTGAAGATCACTCGGAACGTTGTGTAAATAATATAAAAAATTATTTAGACTAATTTTAAATTGTAGTACTCGTTAAAGCAAATAATTTTATATACTATTATTATTCAGTATTCAAGGGGCGTCTTCCCGCAAGATGTAAAAATCAAAAGACTTGTAAAACATCCAAACTTCGACCCGCCCAAGAAATACTTTGATATTGCAATTATTGAAGTAACGACTGAGGTTATATTCACAAAGCTAGTACAACCAGCTTGTCTATGGACGAACGACGATACAAGCCCACTTGGAACCAAGGCAACTCTTACAGGATGGGGTGTAGTAGAAACAAGTAAGTCAGAGACATCTTACAGAAATTACTAAAACACATACATATTCATTTATTCGTGCACAAAAACGTGCATATTTTGAAGTCAACGGGAATAAACATCTGTCGAAGTAGACATGGGGAGAAATTGCAAAAATCAATCAGGAACTGTTTAGGAAAAACACCTTTTGTATCAATCAAGGTTTACAATAATTTACTAAATAATTAAAAGATCTTCCGACAAGAGTTTATAAAAATCGAGTTGGTGTACTACTTATGGAAAAAAATATTATTTAATAAATGATTATTTGCGTGAGACACTGTAATTGATATAAATTTAATAACGTATGATATGATATGTACGATACAAATGAAATAAGGATTGACCAATTCATATGACTAATAATGTAAAATTCCTTTAAAGACAAATTTGCGCGCCATTGTGTGTTTCAGAATATGCGAACTTACACATTTTTGTACCATATTCTTGCAATAAATTATTATTATTATTAAAAACCTCTTAAGAATATTTTAAGTGTTATAAATTTAAATTTTTACTAAAAGAAAAGGAGCGTAATCATGAGATATAAATCATAACAAGATTCTTCCGTTTATTTTCGGTTTTATAATTCCAGGTGGAAGAGAGACATCCCCAGAGTTACAAGCAGCGGATGTCGACATTATTGATTCAGTCGAATGTCAACGTCTACTTCGACTCTATTTTAACCGCCTCTGGTGTGGGGTAGACTCGCATCAGCTTTGTGCTGGAAAATTAGCAGGAGGTGTCGACGCTTGTCAGGTACGGACTGAGTCTCTTTTTGCAAATTGGACGTCTGATTAATTACGTATGTTATAAACCTGTGATTATTGAGTGGCAAGGTCATAATGCACTTTTGAAAATTCAAGGTTAGGTTTTATAAAGCTACAACAACCCTGGACACTTGGTTTGTTGTTGTTTCTTTAAAAAACTATTAAATAAAGGTAATTAACCATCGTGAGATTATAGTTGTAATAGCTTCATTTTTCAGCGATTTATATATGTCACCGTAAAATTGTAAATACCGTTAGATTGTAATCTATCTCGCGAGATTGTGAATTGTCGAAAGATTGTGAACCTCAACGTACTGTTTACAATTTAAAGTATTATTATTCGGTAGATTGTAATCTATCGCAGTGAAACCGTCAAATTACAATCTTAAAATTGTCAACTGTCCGAAGGCTGTCCCTGATTGATAGGCTTTATAATAGACCGTTATATGTCCATAGAGTTAGATGAAACACGGGTATCAGTCAAATAAAATGAATCCACTTCAAGAATATTGACATCAAGTATTTATTAATTACTTAGTAGGTAATCAATAATTCTGGCATCACATGGTAAAAAAAAAATGTATTAAAATAAAAACATCAGAAATGTAACAATATTTTCTCTTCAAACACAAATTAAAATTGAAAAATTAATGAAATTTTCTTTTAGAAAAAAAGAAAACGAAATAAAATCAAAAATTAAAAAAAAAACAATTCGAAAACATATGAACAATAATTTCATATAACTAATTCTAAAGCTGTGAGTTACTTTCAACACGACATCAATTCATTCACCAAAACACTGTTTGTTTACATTCGACAACACAAATATGGTGGCGCGTGGCATATTCCGTACAACCAATCAGCGCGCGAGGTGCGTACCGTTTCGCAATTTGACGGTTTTACTTCAATAGATTACAATCTACCGAATAATAATACGTTAAATTGTAAGCAGTACATTGAAGTTCACAATCTTTCGACAGTTCACAATCTTGCGAGATAGATTACAATCTAACGGTATTTACAATGTTACGTTGACATATACATCTGGACATGATATATAACATTTATTTCAGGGGGACTCGGGTGGACCTCTGCAGGTAAAGATACCTTTACCAGTAAAGTCACAGGGTTCACTTCACTACGTCATTGGAATCACATCCTTTGGTGTTGGCTGTGCTCAGAAAAACATTCCTGGGATATACACAAGGGTCTCCAGCTTTATTGACTGGATAGAAGATGTGGTCTGGAGAGGGTCATGATTAAAAGGAAACTATTTTAGTTTAGGTACTCTTTTATAAAAAAGTTTTGAATCTATGATGCTTGTAAACTAGCAGCGGTATTTTTGTTATGAAAGTAAATATTATTTTCTTTCTCTGTCTCTTATGCCACAGATTATTTGTTTAAAATGTAATCCCTCCACTACTCAAAGTCACATTCTTCATGCTTTGATTCATATCAGTTTCCATGTGCATGCAAATTGGGCTTACTCGGTGTTATGAAAACCGTGCGGTACTTTAGTATAAGTTACTAAGAATTTAGATTTGTAAGACGCCAAACGTGCGCAGCATCCAGCTGCAACAGTTTGTAATTAACTTATAAGTTTTATTTTAATAAAAGTCAATATAGAACTTGTTTTTTTAGACCTCCGACGGGAACCAATATAATTTACTAAAAACATTTAAAAACTGAGACAAAAACAACAACGAACTTTAATAACATATACGAAAATGTGGTAATCCGATCGTATATGCTTGGGCGAGGTACTAATGGCATTAATACATCCTTATATTTTTTTTTTCTACTCCAAATCTAGCGGCTGTAGCAATAAATTAAAACGTAAATAATACTTGAAAACATTATATGCACCACTTCCGGTGTATTAGTTCTAACGTCATAATGATGATGAAAGCGCAGTGCAATGGGCAGCGGTTACAAGAAATGTTTCACTTGTTAACGATCCTCCACATTTAAAATGCCAAATTGGTTCGTCTTTCGCTTGCCGTGAGAGGCTGGTGCCTATAGTTGGAGTCTAGAAGACTTGCTGCAGCAGGTTACCAGTCTACCAACTCGGATAGAAAAGTATTCCTTGTGCCTAATAAGCCGACGATATATATGTATTGAAAGCATTCTTTAATGATATATTTTTTTTTATAGAACGGGGGGCAAACGGGCAGGAGGCTCACCTGATGTTAAGTGATACCGCCGCCCATGGACACTCTCAATGCCAGAGGGCTCGCGAGTGCGTTGCCGGCCTTTTAAGAATTGGTATGCTCTTTTCTTGAAGGACCCTAAGTCGAATTGGTTCGGAAATAAGTGGGCAGCTGCTTCCACATAGTGGTGGTGCGCGGCAAAAACTGCCTTGAAAAACGCTCAGTTGTGGAACGGCGGACGTCGAGGTGATACGGGTGGAATTTCGTATTCTGCCTCGACGTCCGATGATGAAACTCAGCTGCAGGTATTAATCCGAACAACTCCTTGAACACTCTCCATGGTAATTTCGGTAGAAGATGCAGAGTGACCCCACATCTCTACGCAACGCCAAAGGATCAAGCCGCTCGGAGAGGGATTGGTCGTCGACGATTCGAACCGCTCGGCGTTGTATACGGTCAAGTGGAAGGAGCTGGTACTGGGGAGCCCCCACCCAGAGGTGAGAGCAGTACTCCATGTGGGGCCGAATTTGCGCTTTATATAGTTGCATGCGGTGGCCCGGAGTGAAGTACCGCCTCGCCTTGAAAATCTCGCTATCTGTTTATTAAGAGATATTAGAAATCTACCCATGGAGGCACGGGTGGGGCTTCCGATAGACGTAACTAACCTAACTAAAATCATAGTTAGTAGTCAAAAGTTAAAAAGTCAAATTTATTTCATGGAATCACAAGACACAAAAGCAGTGTTGGCCTTTAGTTTAAGCGTCATGGGTCGTGCGTCAAATCACTTTCTTTGTCATCAATTAAGACGTTTTATGCATGCTTGAATAAAACAGGGTACCTTATTAGATGGAACAGTACTTATTAAGGTAGAAACAGGTAATGCGCTACCTAAACAAATACATACTCGTTTTACTTTTAATCTGGATGGCGTGACTAAAGATAATTTATTTAAAACTTGCACTGTTTGAATAATCAATGTGAATTAGTATTTGACATTTAAAATAATTTTCCTTAAAGAAACCGGTCTATTATTAACGATACTTGTAATTAGTATAGCGATGCGTTATACTAGTATTTATTTTTCGTGGAAGTTATTCCTAGATGATACAAAATTGTTTTTTATATAAATAATGATTGGAGTTTAACTTTTACATTTGTAGTTTAATCTACACTATGCCCTTGCCAAGTTGAATCGAACTTCTGTCACCCATTATTGCCACCATTACTAAGACCACAGCCTCATTCTTAACTCACTTTCGAACTCACACAGGGTTTTCGGATCGCTGGTCGCTCTCAAATCAGTCTAACAGTCATTTATGATTTGGCATTCTGAAAAGGTGGAAGTTGTAGTTTATTGTTTATTAGAATGCGAAATCATAAAATGACTGCTTCACGACTATTTCAGAGCGACCGCCGGTCGAAAACCGCTGAGTGAGTTCGAAAAGAACAACGCGGTGCAAACGATAAGGCTGACTTGTTTGCTATGATTTTCGCCTCCAGTTCCAATATGGAACCAACTGAAATAAACTTCTACTTACAATCGACAACAGCACCAGGAAAAGCTTCAAAACGCTTGGTGTTTCATTTTACGCAACAGCTAAGCTTTTAAGAAATCTTGTACTATGACTGCTGTATACAATGCGTTGTGTTATGTGAAACCCTCCACATAGGACTACAGAAAAGGGTGCGAACGTTTGGCACTTTCTGCTCCATAGGACAATCCTATGATTGGCTCTATAGCCTGGACAAAATCAAATTGGTTGCTGATTTTTTGCTTTAACATATTTTTGTTATTATTATTATTATTTTTATAATTTATCACACACTGTTTTGTTGTGTTTTTTTAATATTTTTATTACTCTTTAATGTTAATATTCTAAGGTTTCGATATTTGTAAATTGTGAGGAAATTTACTAACTTTAGTATAGTAGTTTATTCTAAGAGTACATTGTCTTCAATATAATTATTTAACAAATGTAACAAAATATTGTAAATATTTTAAAAGAGTAAGTGTGGAGTTTCTTGCCCATTCTTCTCCACGAAACCTGGAAGGGGCAACTAAATCATCTTATTTTTTTGACGTTCAAAAGTGCCATTTTAGATGGTCTAATTGAAATAAACGATTTGACTTTGACTTTGACTTTGGCAGAATTCTTTTAAAGACTACCTTGGGAAAAATCCTTCGTATAGTCATAGTCTACAGCAGTACTATTTAATGCTAATATACCAAATTGTCGTAGGGACGGTGCCTATGTTTCTTTAGTTATTGGGTACTATGTTTCTATTCTATATTTCTGTTTGTAAAGGTTTGAGATGTCGCAAATAATCGGATACATTTTTTATCTCCACTAACTTAGGGTTTTACGCTCAACTAAACAAGAAGCAAGAATGTGCAATCGGTAAAATCAGCAAGATCGCCCATATTCGTCCATCCGATTATATATAGGGTTATCACTCTCGTAGGTTCATTTCCTATATTAACGTGCACGGCGTGACCACCTTAATATAGCCGATTAAATAAGAGCCATCCGCACCTTTTATCGAGGCCACAAATTGATTCCAGTTTGTGTATCTTGTTTCTTTTCTTTTTTTCTTATGTGTGCCTTGGTGCGGCTACAAATAAGTAAATATATAGGTAGCTGATCATTATTATATACCTAAGTTTTCAATTGTAGACTTACAATAGTCGTTGAATTTATAATCAGCTTAATCGGCTTTTTTAAAGTCGGTTGAAACTAGTGTTTATTCACTCGTATTATATAAATTGTTTAAAGTCGGATTATTTAAAGCATCACCCTGGCCCAAAACTAAAGTTTTCTAAAGTTTGTGGGCGGTTGTATCAGTAAATAACCGCTTAAAAATCAATTAAAATTTGAGAGACAAGTGTGTGAGGACATTGAGAGCTTGTTCAACCTCCAAGGGGTGGTCATGTATATAGTTCCATTCTTTAGAGAACTCATAAAAAAGTTAAAAATTTGTGAACTCTATAGTCTATATACATCTTCAGTGATATAATTCTATAAAGTATAAATACTATATAAAATTAATCTCGTGCCTCAAGTTCGGTGGCTAAGTGTCAACTGTCTTTGAGAGTTTAAAACAAGAGCTTATGACTAACATAAAATTAGGGGAAGTGGGGTTGCGATGTTGGACTAACAAAAAACAGTAACTTGAGTTATTTATGGGTTCCTTAAGCTAAGTGACCTGTTACCTATAACGAATATAAGTTATATCGACCTATTGCACATTCGGAAACGAGAATGTTATATTATAATTTATGAATGACTGAAGAACTAAAGGGCTCATTTATTGCAACCAAAACTAACATTTTAGAATTGATTGGTATGCGCTTTTAAATTACAACTGACCTTAAGACTTTTTAGACTTTTATTCATAAATTCTCTAATGTCATCACGTACTTTTATAATCAAATAAACAGGTTTTCATCAGGTATTTGTTTCCACCGTTCGGGGCATCACCGCTGTAGACTATGTTATTATAGTTACAATGCTATGTTACTTTTAGTTGACGCCAGTGTACGGTATCATAACTATTGCATAGCGACATCTTAACAGATATAGAGAGTTTAATTAAAAATTGTGAAAATGAGAGTATTAATTATATTAACGTTATTTGAAGGTTTGTTTGTCTAAAAAGTAGTGTAATAATGTGAGATCAGTGTTTTGATTTATGATTTATTTTCAGTAATGTACGTGACCGGCTCCGAAATATTAAATACTAGTTTGGGACAAGTATGTATCTATTACTCTTGAATATTTACTACGAGTATGAGTATATTATAGTGCACGGATTTTATTTAGCGAAATAACAAACTTTAAGACTAAATTACTAAAATAAATTCGTGTATTATATTTATACATGTTCTAAAGTGCGGTGAAATCCGTATCCCAAAAACTACTAAACTGTATAAACGTGTGAGAATAAAGGAGATCAACATGACTCTTAGAGTTCAGGAAATTTGGAGACAAAGTGCGAATCCTTCCAAAATTTAACTTGCTTGGAAGTTTCAATAGACCATCATTGTCAATTAGATCCAATTCTATCAATATCACATCTACAAACCGCATTTTTTTGGAGTTCCTTAAAAA